CGAGGTACGAAAGTGTGCATGGTTGCATTGGTTTCAACCAACGGAAAATGGAATTGAATAGCCATTTATTCATTCAACACTATGGTCAGAAGTAGATCACATTAAATTGTACAATTTCCTGACGGAATCTGGAAAAGCATACGGACTAATGAGGTGGTCCTAACCTTGGGCCAAATATGAGTCCCTACCGTCAGCGATCTCCTGTCATTCATTGATCTATCTATCCAATAAAATAGTGTTCACCTTTTCCCAAATAACTCTAATCATATCGGGTTCCGAGGAGCTGAAATTATTTGCGTCACTTAACGTACTTCCATTTGTTCGATCGTGTAACCTACTCTCTTGTGGTAACCTGATTCATCGTATTACGATAGGCCTTGGATGGTTTCACTGTTCACCCATCTTACGCAAAAACGCTCTACTCTATTTGAGCCAACTGATTGCACCTCATTTCATCAACTTGAATGTTGTTCTGGCCAATAACATAATAGTCTTAAGCTTCAGTAAAACGTTCACACACACACACACACTCACACACACTTCTCGAGAAAGTAGTGACTGGGGCTGGATATGGTGGGGTGTGTGACACAGCATGGGAGCATTGCCTGCTAATGACATTCACTATATGCCCTTGTAAGTTGGATAAATTATTCGAATGTTCAAAAATCAGTGGCATCAAAGCTAGGCTGGTAGAGCGTGCGCTGTACAAAAGCGTAGCCGGCGTCCATGCATGGGTTCGAATCCCACCGAGGGGCTACTGAACTTTTCACAATCTCATCATAACAACTTCAAATCTGCCAAACAACAGTTTGAACATATAAGAAAGACATTGTCTGCGTCTGGACAGACTGGAGCTGTTCGAAGTCACAAACAGCATGTTTTGATGGACGATCGTTGTTCACTTAACTTATAGCAAGTTATTTTCTACAAGTTTTCGGCAAATAATTTTTGTTCGACAGTGAACATCAGAAGGCTACGTGATAGAGAAAAGCGATAGGTTTTTCGCAGAATGTATACTTTTGCAGATTTTATTTCAGTCTATAAACGTTATTTCGCTGAGAATGAGAAGTATTTGAGGAATTCACGTACAAATGTATCCACTCTTCAAATCTGATGATGATATAATGATCATTCATTGTGTGTACCTTTCTCTTGTCTCCCCGCATCATACCAGTTCCTCTGAGGGAAGTGCTTCGCAGCTGTCGAGCAATTGTTCCAGATTACGTACTCGACGGACTACGACTTCCCACGTTAGACGAACCGTCACGTCGTCCGGTTCAGTCCAAACAGTTTCGATCCGCGGTCAGGAAAATCACGACAAGTTCGACCACCACAACCACCACCACCGCGACTACTACAACAACAACCGAGACAGAACCGACCACGACAACCGAGGAAGAACTACTGCCCGAGATGGAAGAGACAACGGAATCCTCGGGGTTTGATCTGTTTAATTTATTCCAGGGTTTTGCCGGGCGTAATTTACGCAAACCCCGCAGTGTGCCTGCTAATCCAACCGAGCTGTCTGCCGATACGGGGTTAGATTATTGTCAATCATTGGACCGACCACTTCCGGAGGAATGCACAACCGGGATTCCTTTGACCGCGACATTCGAGCAAAGCTCATCAGACACGTGGACCACATTCCGTCCAACCTCCAGTATTGTGTCCGAACTTGTGGCTGCCCCCAGCACACCATTAACCGCAGATGTAGTTTCTACAGATACAAAGTTAACCACCACAAACCCGGAACCGGTACAACCTGACAGTATTTCCGTGGACACAGCAACAACAACAACAACAACAACGTCCACAGCAGCAGCAGCAACAACAACCACAACAGAAACAATTCCAGTCACAGAAAATATTGACAAGGTGAAAGAAAAGGACTATTTGGGAGCCACGCAGGTCCAGACCACTGATGACACCGAAGCACCGGCGACAACGAAAGCTGCAACCCTCGCGGGTGTCTTGCTTACAACTAAGAAAACGACCATTACAACTGAAAAACCATCAAAACCTCTGGACAAAATAATCACCACTTCAATTACAACTACTGAGATGTCAGATTCTGCAACTCCTCCTCCTCTGACTGAAAATGAAGTGAAGAGAACAGTAGACGAGGACACAGTTGAGTCCACCCCGAACACGGAGAATTCGACCGGGCAGATTAGCCCGATTGCTCAAGAGACAGCTAACTTTACGGTTGCATCAGACTCACCAGATCACTTTGTCTCTGAAGCTCCGGCGCTTACTATCCCCATATCAACTACCACACACTCGAAACAACAACAACAAGGTCAATCTGTGCAGTCTACGACCAGTCCCTCGTTGCCGGAAACCGAGGATACCGCGGCTCCGGAAAAATCGCATATATCTCTGGCGGCGGCTAAACTTAGACAAAGATACACGCAAGGGTCATACAAGCCGTTCACAGTGAAGGCTCCGGTTCACATGCACACGCCTACTGTGGTCACATTGATGGAATTTTTACGGACTGCTCGACAATATGAGAAAAGTAAGAATCACTACTGTCTGGTATTAATCTCTCTCTCTCGTGGTTAATCATAGAGTTAACCAGAAAATAGTTTACATGTACAACATTTATATGACCGGTTTGTGAAGAACCATGTTGCCAAAGCAACAACAAATTTCAAATTTTTATTATGGGAAAAATGTAGAAAGATTTCGATTATCAAATTCCATAGGGTGTTTCCACTTTGGATTCAGAACACGATTCACAAGATCACAGTTAGTCCATGTACGTAAAGGAGTAATGTAATGTTTTTGACGAGCACAGGAGAATATATATTACATAATTGGGTGTTGAAACATAATGTTTGCCAGAGCACCGTCAAGCTGACTCTTGAAAGTTACTAACGTTGGGGCGTAGACCACGTGAGGTGGTAGAGAGTTCCATGTGCTGCACACTCTGACTGCAAACGAATGGCGTCTGCAGTTGAGACGGCCCTTTTGGAGTACAAACTTCAGTGGATGCTCTCTGAGATAAACCTTGGTTGATAGAACCAAAAGAGATCTAAATGGACAGTTGGGCTGCTGGAAAATCTGATACAATAAGATTATATCACCTCTGATTTGACGATACTGAGACGAGTATAGCCCCAATAGCTGTAATCTTTCGCTATAGGTCTTAGAAGGTGGACCTTTGACCATCTTCGTAGTCACTCTCTGCGGATGTTCAAGCGCCTTCTGATCTCGCTGGAGCCATGGGTTCCAGGCCTGAACTGAGTACTCGGTGTATGGACGGATATATGTGGCTAACAGACGTGGAAACAAAGCCGGCTCAAACGATCCAAAAAACACGTCTGCGCGGTCCAACCTGTTTTACCGCCATGGATGATGCCGTGGAACAGTTTGTGGGGCAACTCAAGTCTGCGCGAATGATTACTCCCAGATCCTTCTCGGGTGGAGCATGAGGCCGAGTTTCGTATCCGAGAGTGTAGGAAAAACGACTATTGTGACGTAGTGATAAGACTTTGCATTAGGTAACGTTAAATTCCATGCCATTGGCGACGGAATATCTGTGGGCTTCGTTAAGGGCGTTCTGGAGATTAAATGAATCTTCTGGTTTTGTTATTGTCCTCCATATTTTGGCATCATCTGCAAACAGCAGAGTTTGTGGTCCGAGAACGTCTAGAAGATCATTTATAAAGGCAAGGAGAAGACGTGGACCTAGCACAGATTCCTGTGAAACTCCATGGTCGACATCATTTGGATCGGAAAGTGAATCGGAAACACGAACTGGTATGGCATATAGTCGAAGAAACTCCTCGATCCAGCCAAGTACGAGTCCACAGATTCCATAATTATATAGCTTCCGTATCAGTATTTGATGATTTACCCTATCAAATGCTTTAGAGAAGTCCAGGTAAGTGACATCTACGTCTTTGCTTTGGTCAACAGCATGAGTCCAATCGTCCCGAGCCAAAATCAAGTTACTTACACATGAACGGTTTTTTTTGAAAGCCTGTGCGGGGCTGGGGATAGTAAGTCATTTTTCTCCAGATGATCCATTGCCGAATCTGCAACAATAGATTCCATGACTTTGGACAACACTGGAAGGAGAGTGACGGGTCGGTAATTGGCTGGATCACCACGGCATCCGCCTTTGTAAATTGGTGAAATCAGACCACTTTTCCACAACTGAGGAAGCACAGTATCTGCAAACAATTTTTGGTTTAGTCTACTTAAAGGATCGGCTATGTGGCTTGCCAGGATGATAGGGGCTGGTTGATGTATGCTGTCCAGACCCAGTGATGAGTTCTTCTTCAAAGCCAGGAGCTTTGGCTTTATCCTTTCGGAAGAAAAGATGATGTCTGTCAGTAATGGGTAAGGAATATGTTCCAGAAAACGGGGAAGTCTGAACCCAGTGTTACTAGGCGTATTTACCACCCGAGAATAGTGTAGTCTAAACATTTCTGTAGCTTCCTTGGTTGTCGTTGAAACAAGTCCTGCTAAGTTTGGTGTCGGAACCCCATGTTTGAATTTCCGGGAAGCGTTTAAATGTTTGTATAATAGCTTAGGGTTTGCGATAAATTTCCTCGTCAGCATATCGTAATAAGTGTGTTTGTTTTCCCTCAACAGATCAATACAATGGTTTCAAAGGAGCCTGTGCACAAGAATAACAGAAAACGGGACGATAAAAGTGGTTGGGAAACAAAAAGGGGAGTGTGAAGTGGATGTCAAACAGATATGGTGGTGTGTGCAAAGAGAGGGATAGACGTTGGAAGAGGTAGACGTTGGAAGAGGTATACTTTGGAAGAGGTGGACGTTGGAAGAGGTATACTTTGGAAGAGGTGGGCGTTGGAAGAGGTAGACGTTGGAAGAGGTAGACGTTGGAAGAAGTATACCTTGGAAGAGGTATACTTTGGAAGAGGTGGACGTTGGAAGAGGTATACTTTGGAAGAGGTAAACATTGGAAGAGATAGACGTTGGAAGAGATAGACGTTGGACAGAATGGGGTCTTTATCACTCTTCTTCTTTTTTCTTTTCATTTTACTTCCTTTTTATTGAATATATGCAAAGATACAACTTTCAGGAATGGGGAAGCAGCCAATCAAAGGGCTGTCATTCAACACACACACACCTGCACACAATGGGGAAAGTCAGGCGGTGGTGGTGGTGATGGTGGCATTCGAACACATATCCCTGGGGTGATAACTTGGTGACATTACCACCGGCCAAGCCATCGAGGGCGGTGTAGAACGATTACTTCTTTACCACTATCCAGGCCCAACACACGACGATGAACCTCGTTTTTGCCCACATGATATCTCTACCGGACACGAGCAATGCTTCGGAGACATCGGTGGTCGAATACGGAAAGCCGATTAGCATCTTCAAATCGGGGGGGGGCAAGGACCATACACCGATCACTATGGATACGGCACCAAAGTAATCATGGGTTTAAAGGGCATTGCCGGAACAGAATGAAAACAACACACACACGTAGAAAATAAGGTGGATCGGGTGTGGGATGACGTGGAGACAATCTAAGTGGTATTATTCATTTAAATTCTAAATGTACTCTTGTAAGAGGAAAGCCCTAAAGAAGCATAACCGAACTGTTGTGAATGGTGAAGTCCAACAACATCGGTATATACAATATATCTTGAACCATTTCGCTGTATCTACATGCATACAGACCGCAGCTTAACTGCTCAGGGATATATGTATGTACAATTAGTTATCCGGGGATATTGGGCCAAGAACAGCATTACTCAACAAACGCATTTATCATTCACTTGGCTACTGTTCACTGGTGGACCTCGGGTGACCTTGAATTGCAGCACCACGTTTCCGCCAATTTGTCCTAGTAATTCTGATACACAACACGACACCCGCAAGAAACTGTGGTTTGAATGTGAATTACTAACCCAGTATAGTAGGTTTGAAGCCAGTTAGTCCGCAATCTGCATGGAAGACCTGTCCGGTCAACAATGAACTGACTGACTATCTCTGAAGACAACACCTCAAAAAACATGATTTGGTAGTTCTGTTTAGCCTTAGCATGAGCTGGTTGACACAGTGATAACACACACACATTTCGTGCGATGGGTCCTCAGTTCAAATCCCGGACGGGAGGACGGTGGATATGCACTACTGATGAGCTCTAATAAGAGCGAAACTCGAGTCTAGTGCTTCGGAGTGTATGGTTCAATCGATGATCTGAGGGTTGTACGTGAAGATGAAGTCTGAAGAATGATCAGTTCTAATTAATCAATATAAATTATCCCACAACACAACTTTCAAGTAAGTGTGAATTAATTGCGAAGTCTGATACTACTTATTGGCAATAGATATAGAAATTGGTGTGATTAAAACCAAACTGAGGTAAAAAGGTCTGTGGCTCACAATCTAAATTCGCATTTATTCTTTCCTGTTCCAACCCAAGGGGGCATGTTTCGCTCACTTCCCGAAGAACCATCTACTATCCCCGAAAATAAGACCCAGTACGTTTTTCCCTGCGCAAAGGCAATATGATATCGAATGTTTTTGATGGATAGAGGCACAATAGCTTGGGGTCCAAAAACTGTAACACCCACAACATTCTCTTTCCACTCGTGACCGTAGACAAATATCTTCAGCTCCCTACGAATCAGCCAAACTGTTGTAACCTCATTTTACACAGCTGCCGATATCCAGGTCTCGTCCTATCGACGTGACTGCAACAAATGGTCGAGTAGAGATCGAGCGAGCAAACGATCGAAGATCACTTCACTAAATGGCGGCTATCCAGGGTATGTGTATATTTGCGCGCGGACGGACCAAATATGCACACAAACTCATTCAATTAGGCGGTCAGTTTTTAATGGGGCTTTTTCGGTTTCCTTAAGTATGTGACCGATAAATCTTTCCCAAAGTGGCTTGTCTTGGTTGACACCGACCGGCGGTCGTTTGTTCATCGTAAACAAAACAAGCGCGCTGCGTCTTTTGCCACCCGTATGAAACATGCAGTTAGGTACAACGGAACGAAAGCAACTTGTAATGCCAGAAAGGATACGAAATGGGAGAAAACGGAATAGTGTGGTTCCCCATTCGTCCATTTAACACACACTAATTTGTGCCAAATAAGATCAAGCGAGATCAATGCTGCCCGTTGACTTCTCTTCATACGCCCTTGCCATGTTATGAGCTGAGTGAACAGGTCATGCTAAAAAAATGCAGCAATCAGAGGCGAGTAGGCAAACATGCCTGAGGCACGGGCAGTCAAATGCTATACATAATTCATTTGTAAAAACGAATCTCAACACTCAATGCCTAAAATCGGACATGGTCACTACGCATGTGCTGTTGCTATCAAATGTTACTGGAACAATTGCATGATTAGTTTAGTTTCCAGTTTGCACTTATTCTTAATCCACGCTGGTCAGTTCGTATGGAAACCATGGCCCAGACACCTCGGCACGTGCTGAGCTCTTGAGTTTGTAAGCTTTCCTTGACGCCAAATGGTCACTCACTTTTCTTCGTGTTTTAGCTTAACTACGTAAGACTAGCACTGTGACTCGTCCTTGGGGAAAGTGATAGGCTGTTCTCATCATCAT